TGCAAAAATCCTGATCGGAGCATATTAGTAGTGCGTTGTGCATTTGTTTGTTGCACTGTGCGTTGCATGACAGATTATCAAACCAAAAATTCTAACGTAGCAGCTAAGGCCTTGTATAATCGGTGTCTTACATTGTACCTAATCAATCAAATCCAGTCTCTGGTAAGTTTGCATGCAGAATACAAACCCGCTTTATCAGAAGAGCTCATTGGAATGTGCAGAACATCCTTGTTTACGGGGGGTTTGTTGACTGTGTGCTGCATTGGTATGCGTGTTCACCGGCCACTGATTGGCAGTTACTAGCCTAACGTGGGTAAACAGTGCTTGAACTGCAGTGACTGGAAGAGCAGTGCATTCTTGGATGAAGTGTGTCGCACTTGTTGAGTGAGTCCTGATGCCGAGCAGAGCATTTCAAGCAGTGCTGCCATTCTCTAGGCAGTGTGTTCACTATGGAGTGTGTAGGGAAGATTAGGAGAAGTGCTGGGAGATCATCAAACATACACTTAAGAAAAGATTTTTGCTGCTTGTTTAAACATCTTATTTGAAATGTGCTGAACTCAGCATCGTTTTACAGTGTTCATCGTAAAAAAAAATACTCTATTTGTGTTCGGACAGCATGAAGGAATTAAGTTAACTTATTAGTTTTTACTAATTGAAGTGGATTAAATATAAAGCAATTATGCTGTCCTACAAAACTCTCAATATGTCACGGTCATGGTTGGGGAAAAAGAAGCGAGGACCCAATTGCAGAGTGAATGAATATTTATTATTAATAAAATAAAATAAAAGGAGATATAAACAGCCCCGAGGGGGAAAACAATTATTAAACAAATAAACAATCAAAACAAACTAGGATGGAAAGGCTGGTGGGGATCAGGACTGGAGCAAGGCAACATACAACAAGACAAGGCAACAATGACGAACTGGCACAGGACATCAAACATGAGGAGATTATAAGCAGAAGTAAATTGACACACAAACAGGTGAACGTGAGAAACTAATAATGGGTCAACAAGGAGGGTGGGACTAGACAATAGACGGTAGAGCACATGACACAAAGAGACAACACAAGCCATGCGCTCACATAAAACAAGACTAGAACACGCAGCCAATGAGAGAACTCATTAACCGCGTGTTCGTATGACAAGACAAACACAACAATGAAGCACACAACAAAAGCACGCGACCACAATGTAAACGCAGAGCCACGTGCTTTGACAACAGACGCAAGACACGAGCACACGATAGATGAAAAAACCTTATGCCTAGTTCAGACTGCGTGATTTTAGCCCCGATTTTGGCTCGCCGACAGGTTTTAAGAAATCGCTGACAAAAGCCTGAAATCACAGGCAAATCTGTGCTCGTGCATGTGAGTGACAATCACACAGTATGAACTATCAAAGACGCGATATGAGAGAATCGCCGATGAGTCGCCGATGCCTGCGAGATATTTGGCATGCTAAATATCTGGAGCTGTCTGCGATTCAAATCATGCCGTGTGAATTGAGTGTTGACTGAAAATAGCATCAGCGATCACCTACAGCCAATGAGAGAGCGGCATTCACTTGCGTGTGCATATACCTTCTGCAGGCCAGCGGGAGGCTGGGGAAGAAGTTAAAAGCGCTCATTTTCGGTTTATTTGGACCAACGAAATGAAGGAAAAACTAGTGGAGGTTGGACAGGACTCAGGAGCACCCGTGTCTGTTTGACGTTTCATACAGGAAGAAATTAGTTTATTATCAATGTTGAGGAGAAATGGCTAATTCCCTTTAAATCCAGGTGAGCAAATATGTACATTTTCTATCCCATTTAAGGCTTCTTTCTCATTATGTACTTAATAACAAAAGATATACTACGTGTTTTTGGCTGTGAGACGTAGTTTGGATGAAGTTGTCGGCGATTCTTCCTATAGTAAAGTCATACAATGTAAAAGTCCCTGTCGCCGATCCATCGTGCAGTGTAAACAAAGCAGCGACGAAACGCTAGCCCAGATAGGCATGCAGTGTGAAAACAGCTATGACACGACTACTATGAAACTCGGCATTACTGTGTGCTCACACATATGCAACGCGCATGCTTCATCTCAGCGCTAACCAAAACCGAAACAAACTAGACGGCGACGCTGGCC